GGGGGGCTGCAATACACAGGTCAATTAAAAATTTCTAGATACATGTTTCATATAAATTTCTGACAAGATTATTTACCCTAAATTATTCCATTTTGCAAAAGAAGAGCTCTCTTTAGCAAAAGTACATTAAAATAAAAAGGTTCATCAATTTTGTTCATGAACCTTCATCTGTTGGCCATTTTTTCCTGTCTATCTCATTATTCAGGCATCTGAAGGCCTCTTTACCAGTGTCCTAAAGTCTAAAGTAAGGGGGAGAAACCTAAATAACTGAGAAGAAAAGAACTTTATCATAAACTTCCAGAGTCAAATGTAAATATTCAGATCAAGCTTCACAGAGGTAGAATATTGTCCTGCTTCAATCAGGACAGTCCCCAGCAACATACCTGCAGAGTAGCACCACCACAGAATCAGCCTTTGCTGGGATGAAGCCCAGGAGAAAGACGTTGCGACAGCCGCAGTTGTAACATTCCAGCACGGTTTCGCCCAGCGGCCCATCTTTATGCAGAGTCACTTCTTTGCATTTCGCTCTCACCAAATGGTTCACAATATGGCTGCGAGGCAGACAATGGAAGTCAAACCAAACAGAAAATTAAAAAACTGACACTGAGCCCGAGAGCAAAAGTGGGAAACGGCCCACTTCACAGTTATGAACAAAGGCTGTGAATAGGATACGATTCCTATTACACTGCTTGGTAGCATCTACAGTAAATAAACCTGAACACGCCCTCTGTTCAACCAATGCAAATACAAGAGTTGCCATCTACTTCTCACAGATCTCTCATTACACACATGCCACATGACCTGTCTGTCAAAATATGGCTGGTGTTGGCAGAAGTGTGTGAAAATTTCATTGTTATCGTTTCAGGTTATTAGTAGTTTCACTTTCCGATTCCTACATGCAATTAAATAAAGACAAGCTGACGACGCACCTGCCGGATGTATTGCCACGCCCATTACAGAACCACTTCTTGCTGGTATTGCAGTACACCACACACGCTGGATCGTGGATACCACAGTAGCTGTAAGGAACAACCACAGCAGTGTTCAGAGCAAACACAACAAGAGCAAAAGACCAACTGTACACACATGATATCGGATGTCAAAGGAGTCAGCATATTATATGGACCCTGTCAAATGCTACATGCTCACATGCCTCAACCACAAATATGAAATGTCATGGGAATATGTTGCCGCCATACATGCAGGACTCTTGAAGCTAATTCATATTCAATAGGTGTCAAAAACATGTACAGTATTTCATAAGTTTCAACAAGAATGCACACAAACACTCCCAGAAAGCCAATTTAAGAGAGTTAAATACATTTAAATTGCATATTTAACTGCCAATTCTTATTAAAAGCTTTTACCTAAATTTCACTGTCAATTTAATGTTTAGTATTCTTACAGGATTATGAAAGTAAACAGGAATGAGATTCAAGCAGTAATGTGAAAAGTACTAAAGCTGGTTGACATTTCATCAGGGCCACGTGAATCGTATCGTAGCACTAAAATTATAAACCTCTGATAGTGCACTACAATTCAACCATTGTGAGTGGCTAAAAATTGTACAGCATACTAGTGATGTAGATGACGATCACTAACTAATGTACTGCAATCAGTTCATCGGTAACGCACAGTCTGCTGACATCCTGCCACGGTGCGATTTTTATCCAGCGTACCTGCACGCGTGCAAGGGCAGGTCTTTGGTGTAGTACGTGTCCTCTTCATCCTCCTCAAAGTTCAGCTCGGCCAACAGTTGGCTGGCTTTGGCCACGGAATCATCCACTCCACCGTTGTGAAGACCCTCATCGGGACCATTTACCTGCAGCACAACACCTGCTTTACTGAACAAACTCACCGCTAACGATTAGCAGCCAGGCACACAGCGCTGAGAGAGACACTAAATTATAAGTTGACAGGTTGTCAGCGCTCATGAATTTTCTCTATGATTTTTACAGTTACGCTCACGAGTTTAGTTTACTTAACACAGTTCAAAATAAAGATAAAAATACAATTACTGTTACTTCAGAAGTTTAGTTAAGGGGCTTGCTAACGCTGCAACCCAGCTAACACTGAGCTAAGTAATGCTATCCAATTTAGCGGGCTAACAGGTAGCGCTGGGTCAGCTAGCTAACTACAGCTAGCGTCAGTAAAGCGCGCTTTCTCGTGCCTTCCTGTGAAATTGAAAACCTCAGACCTGGCTGTCCAGCTGGCTCTGTGTCTGCCCTTGAGTTTGCGTCTGACTGGGAAGGGTGAAGTCGGTGAAGTCATACTCCGAGCCCTGGGTGTCCGCTCCGAGCAACTCCGCTTCCTCGGTGTCCAGGAAGGTGAGGGTCTGGGAGCTCGGCCCGTACGCCTCCACGCTCATCTCGACTCTCTCAACTTTCGCTTTACTGACGGGTTTCCGGGATTAGTATAAAGACAGTTAAAATCCAAAGCGTTTTCGTTGATCGACAATTGGTTTAGAGCCCGACGTTAACAGTCTCAGTTTGAACCTAAATAAAAAAAAATGGAACCGATCGGAACCTCGAAAGCTGCAGCAGGTCCAACAGCCGCGGTGACGGACTTCCCCAACGTGTGACGTTCACCGGAGGCTGGAGCTCAGCTCACAGACAGGTCTCTACAGGGAAGAGCTCTCACTCTGATCCCATATCCGGGTCTCAAAGCAACGTCACGAAACGCTGTGAGGAAATCCATTAAAAATAGCAATACTAATACATATAATACTCCTAGCTCTTTTGACAGTTTTTTCAGTAGGTTTTGTTTAAATTTTTTTTATACAAATTGCATGATTCCCAATTTGTATCCAAATCTGGTTAAAAAAAAAAAATCTAATCTAATCGTGTTTTTAGTATGTTTTGTATGGATAGCAACGAGTAAAAACTCGGTCCCACGAGTTTATCATTGAGTTTTAGGTAATTACGTTAACAGCAAAATTGTTTAAAATAGTATCAACCAAGGCAGGGTCTGCTTAAGTAACTTAAATGTGAGCATTTAGATGGCTCCTATGCCAAAATGTATTTTAAAGAATTCAATCAAATGAGAGGTCTACGAGAGCACTAAGATATGAAGGTATGTACCAAAGAGGAATGAACGTTAATAGGAGTGAGCCATGCCTGTGAATGGGAGAGGCAGGTGGAAAGGTCAAGATGCAATGAGGAGGTGGGCGAGTTGAAATACTTGGGGTCGACCATGCAAAGCAATGGACAGAGAGGTGAGAAAGAGTTAACATAGGATAAAGATGAATGTCAGGTGATTTTTCCACAGGTAATAGGTCTTGAATAATCAGGTCCTAAATTGTCTTAAAGATCTCACAGTACCATACCGCATAAATAGAGAATTTGTGGTTCTACTAGAGTTTCTAAAAGTGGAATGGGAAGAAGAGCCTTCATCTTTCAGGCCCCTCCACTATAGAATCAGCTCCCTGTTTGGATTCAGGAGACAGACACTCTCTCTACTTTGAATATTAAGCTTAAAACTGATTTTTTAAAAAGGTTATAATTAGGGCTATATCAGGCAACCCTGAAATTTCCCTTAGTTATGCCGCAAAAGGCCTAGACTGCAGGGAGCTTCCCATGATACACTGTTTCTTCTTCAATCACCTCATTTTCACTTTTTGTGTTTATGCACCACTTTGCATTCAATCATAAGTTATTATTAATCTCTGGCTCTCTTCCACATTAGGTTTTTTGTCCCTTCTTCCTCTTCTTACCCCCAACTGGTCACAGGAGATGGCCACCTCTCCCTGAGCGTTTCTACCTGTTAAAGGGAGTTTTTCCTTTCTACTGTTGCCAAGTGTTTGCCCAGAGGGCGTTGTATGATTGTTGGGGATTTATTCCAGGGACTTTATCTTCCAATATAATATTCCAATGCTTTTTTGAATTGGTGCTATATAAATAAAACAGAATCAAATGGAATTGGTGACAGGAGGATAGCAGCAAGAATGAAACGGGAGGGGAAAAAAAGACAGGAGGCAGAAGTGGAGGTGACAAAGTTAAAGTTAGTGACCAAGAGAAGGAGGCACAGCTTAGGCTGAATAGTTTGGAGACAAAGTTAGAGAAAAAGGCTGGGTATATTGGGATAGACCACAGAGAAGGATCATGGATGTAGTGATGGGCATGTGTGACTGAAGAGGATGCTAGAGATCTGATCTGATTAAGATATAGGCAACCTAACTTCTTCATAATATTGTGAGTTGTGACCCGTGTTTTGTGATGGTGAATCACAATCATGTAGATGTCATTAACAATAGAGTGGAGCCTCGTGGTAATAACTGTGACAGGCTTTTCATGGTCATTGTACCAACATGTCAATTACAAGGTTTCAATAGGAGTGAGTACTGAATGGAAAAGCACAAACATCACTTGTACTTCTTTTATTTCAAAGCCTTTCCTTTACAAAGCCAGGATTACTTACTGTAACAGTGCTTTGTTAATGAAGCTGAAGAGCATACCTTTCAGAGGATACTCCCAAAACACAGGTAGAGCACACACTGATATTAAAAAAAAAAGAAAAAAAGAAAGTACTTTTTGAGGTAGCCACAAGGACAGCATCAGTACTACATCTCTGACCTGACCCACTGAGAATTAGTAAGGCCTTTTCATAAAACACATAACCAACAGCAAGGCACAGGAGGGAGTT